AAAAGGGTGCGGCTTATACACCTGAAAATAGGGTACTTGCCAATTTGCATGCTCCGCGGATTCAAACGCAAAAATTTGAAAAAGAAATTATCCAAGCATAGCTCGGATACAAGCCTTTTTACTTGCGTCCAAATGCTTATAATGGTCTGCAAGTGCGGGGCTGCAAAAGTTAGCCGTTGTATGCCGAGGGGGATTTTGCACACATGTGTTTGAAACGAGTCATGAACGCTTAAATAAACAACGATAATGGCGGCATTATACCTCGAGCATCAGTAATTTAGAAGACTTGTTTATCACTACTAATTACGTTACCTATATGTGTATGTCGACGTTTTCTATGTATGAAAAAAGCATTAGACGCTCAGCATTGGCACGGATGTAGAATGACAAAAATATACTTTGACACACTTTTCTACTAGGAGCTGTCCATGTTGAAATCCGAAGTCTAGTCCGCGAAAGTGCGTCTTTTCCAGTGCAACTACGTGCACGGTGCAAACATATGCTGATTTACCCACAAGAGAGGGGAGAGCTGAAAGAGATGATGTTTGTCGATAAAGAGGCATTGATACTAGAACTCCTCCTCACAGCTCAAAAACTGGATGAGTTCATTCTAAACTCAAATTGCTACAAGTGCGCACATCTATTGATGCAACAAGAAGTGCGTCGCAGACGAAGCGCTTCGAGGTATGCTAAGTACTTCTCTTCGCCTCAGATACGCAGAAGTAACTGTTTCAGATCCAAAATCGTGTACAAGCCGGAAAATTCTCCATCGCATTTTAAGCGACCTGCCTATTACCTCAAACAGCTGAGGGACAACGGCGACTTTAGGTGGGTGACAACATCTTAGTTGCAACATGCATTCTAATGCAGACTTTATGTATCTTCATCCCAGGCTTTGCGATATCGAACTTGTAACAGATAATGGATGTGAAAATGTGCACTCAGCTATAGCTGCTGCACATTGCACCAAGATTGCGAAGGTGAATTCCAATGTAAGACAGCTAGACAGCTAGCTGCACACGTGAACGTTCCTGTGAGAAAACAATAAAATCACATGAAATCTAATATCTATATTAATTCGATATTGCCGACTCATGCATACAACCTTGGAGAAGTGGCAATATACTCGAATTTCTAACTTTCTTCGAAAGAAATGACACGACCGTTTGCGAAAAATGTTTCCTTCAAATCAACTTTAAAAATTGAAGATGGCCGTCAATGACGCGACAAGCGTAACTTTATATTCTGAGCATTGCTGATAGATATATTAAAGCTTAGCGGTAGCTCTATTATACCCCCTGCTTCCGCTACATGGCTAGAAGTCGATAACGATAATTTTTTCTCCGACGACAGAATAACTCCAGCGAACATCTATCTCAGGCATGAAAGCATATTGGCAAACTAGCCTTTAGAACCTAATTTCATGAGTAAAAGACA